AGAAGGCTTTATGAAGAGCACAGATGCTATGTGGAAGTATACTGGGAGAGGCAGTACAATGACATTATTTAAACCTCTTTCTTTCTTTAAACACAGCCCTGCCCAACTTACAGTCTTACCTGGGATGATAAAAGAACAAAAGCGGAAATTTTACTTTGTGGCCCTGAAAGAGTGACTGGGCCACACCAGCAATGGGTTGCAAGCCTATGAAGAAATGTTATAAATAAATGCAGTTAAGAAAAGGAGGGGAGAAAGGCATCTGGCGAGCAGCATGAAGGTCAATGCGCAGTGCGTGCCAGGAGATATGCCAACCCTTGCAATGGCATTTGACAAAATGTCATTTTGAATGGGTAAGTGTAGTGCTGACTCGTGTCTTTTGTCAGGCTGCTCCTCTTGACAGTGTGATATTTATAGCCAAGGCCTCAAAAGAGGCGACTGGCACTCCTAGGGAGTTTCGAGAGGAGAGGCAGCCCAGCTTGCTGGCAAACATAAATATTTGACATTGCGGAAGGAGGCAGCAGGGATGATGTCCTACTCGGCGAAGGCACGGAGAGTATAGTACCAAGTGAGCCCTTTGCATAGGATTCCTACTGTTTATTTATCCTTGCAGAATGAGGATGTCCCATCCACACCCTGTGACTAGAACCCCCCAAAGAGGTTCTGAATTTTAAAACTGTGTTTTAACTGAATTTTTAAAAGTGGCTTGTGAGCGAGCAGCAAGCTCTCATTAAAGCCTGCACTGGAGTACCACCCATGATAAAGGCATGAAACGATCACCAGGAAATTCATCTGATGCCATCTATCTCCCCATCTATCTGCAGTCAAGCACAAATGAGTTCTAGGCCTCTGCCCCCCCATCTATATATATAAAATAGTCCCCTCACCGTAAAATCAACGCCCAGGCCAAACCGCTGGACCTAGAGACACCAAATTCGGAGAGAGCACTCCTACCATGGCATAGGTGCTTGCAAAGAAGGGATTTTTAGAAATTCGACCACTAAGTGGGTCAAAAGGGGGAAAATGTGCTCCCCCCATTGATTCCTATGCGGCTGCCAGGCAGCTGCCTC